AAAAAAAAAAACCCAAAAAAACAAGAAAACAAGAGAAAATACAAGGACAAATGCTTGCCATGCACTACCAAGCAGACAGATGCCTTTGAGCAAAGCCTCCTCTGGAAAAACTTCCCTCGTTCCCTCTCCCTAGTTTTATTCCTGAGTGTGATGTTATATGGCACAGAATATCCTTTTAGTCAGTTTGGRTCATCTGTCTCAGCTGTGGTCACAAATCTAAAAAAATGTCACCCCAAGAGCTGCTGGGAAGAAAAATAAGTCCATCCAGTCAGAACAAATTCACCTTTCCACTACCAAAATTGAGCTCTTGCCCTGTGCAATTCACACTGATCCTGGCTAGAAAGGGAGCATGTGCTGTGATTGTTATGTTTACTGTCTCTGACCTGATGGGAAATCTCTCAGCATTTGTATGGGCTAGAAGTCAGATCCTCCTCTTCACTACAAGCACAAAATATTAGAAGTCTTTTCTGAGGTGCTTTTTAGAAAAATCCTTCTATTTTGCTGACAGGCAATGTTAATCAAAAAGAATTCTAGAAAACTGACTTGGCTCAAAAATTCTATTGGAAGTTACTGCTTGCACTTGATTTTATTTATTTTTTTTTCATTTAACTTTAACCATATTTCCCATTTTCATTTTTGTGCAGAAAGAAACATCTTCTGCAAAAGCTGTAGCCCTTGACWAGAAGTCTGGGTTTGGCTCTTAAATTATCTAGGTGTGAATCGCAGAAGTGGGTGTGTTACAGCAAAGAAATCTCCAGGTTAATCTCTGCTCATGTTCTGTTTAAATATAATCTGATCGATTCTGATTTGGGAACTTGTAATTAATTATTTGGTTTATTTCCCTCTTCTTTTTCAGTCCAAAATTACACACGAATATTCAGAAAGTTTTAATTATTTTCATTTTCTGAAATGGATGTGGCCATCAGTGCCCACTGTCCTGACCACACTCCCACTGTTTCTGCATGCACGGGGTAGTTTTGGTTACTAACAGAACTTCTGAATGATTTTTGCAAAAATAGGCAACATGTCCTAAGGCAGGCATATAAGAGGAGAACTTTCTAACATGTCCTKTGTTCTAACCATGTAAAAGTATCTAAATATATGAGCGGTCCAATAAGAGGCTACTGTTGTTTCTCCTTGGAGGACTGGTTAAGTTTTGAGTGCCAAAGAAGCAGACACAGAGAGGTGTGACCAAGCTATGGACCAGATACCTGCACCCTGGAAAAGTGTTCTTGCTAAGAACATYGAGTTACATCTTGGATGGGAGAAAATTTGGTTTGCTGAATACTTGCCACTTTGTGAGCCCAAATAAGCGTAATTTCATTTCTCTGAGTTTTAACAAAGCTGCACGTGTGGCGACATCAGRGAGTCTTGCAATGAGAATGTAGCCCTGAATCATTTCTTTCCAGATTTCTGTACTTTGGCTGCTTTGAGAGAAGCCTCACTACCTCTTGAGCATTAGTTGCTATCTAAAGTGTGTCACTTTAAGCTGGAAAATGTCTAGTTGCTGGTAGGACTATCAGACATTCCCAGGTCCTTCCAGCAAAGCAGCTCCTGAGTCATTACCATGGCTTATTCAGGGTTGATGTTTGTCACAGCTCAGTGAGTCTGCTGTGCTCTAAAGGGGATTTGAACAAAGCTTCCTCTCAGAAACCAAAACATGTAACAACTACAAGTTAGAAGAGCATCTGTGCATGAATGGAGCTCATTCTCTCTGAATGACGTTCCCAAATTTCCAGTCACCTTTCTGCACTTTCGGACAAGATCGAAATATATGAGTGGGTCCCACAGTGCTGCTGCCTCTGCCCTCACTCTCCTCCTTTCACAAATGTCACATGTGGCATACAGAAAAAGAAATTTGCTTAATGCAGTCAGCTTGAGCTGTAGTCAGCTYAAAAGTATGTGTCAGCAGCATCTCGGGCACTTTATGAAGAGAGAGAAGTACAACATGAGCGCTGAGTAATACTGAAACTTAAATAACAAAAAATAATACCACATGTTCTGGTAGCACGCTTTGCAAGAGATGTACCCAGTGTTTCCTGCTAGCAGCTCTATATCTTTCAATTTGACTTTCCAGGAGGAACAAAACTCCAGAGAAATCTGTGTACAGACATCTGCACTTTCTTGGAGAGCAAGCATAACAGTATGAAGTTTTCCTGAGTTGCCAGGAAAGATGAAGGAAAAGATGGAAGTGTAAACTAAWTGTAAGATTCTGAACTGATAGTTTCCCTCAAACGCATCTTTTCATGTGGTAGTGACCACAGGATTTCTTTCTAGGATTTGACTGGGGAAAGAGCCCTTTCCAAAATTAAACCTTGCTTGGGGAACCTCTTCCTCTTTTATAACAGCTGAGCACCAGAAACATTCAGAATTACTTGCCTCCTAACTGATGGGGTTTTTTAAACACTGCAAAACTTTCAAAGAAAAATATATTCTGGGCTGATAAGAACAGGCTTAATTCCCTTTGAGCTCTCAGGATGTGATTGTTTACATTCCCCTTCAAAACCAGAAAGACTGTCTGGCAAAWATTCTGAGCTTTTCTGCAGTTAAATAAAGGTCTCAAGACAAAAGAAGTAGGATGTGATCTTACCTAAACAAATATACAGTAAAAGAATATAATAAGAACTGAAAAAAAGAGCATTCTGAGAAACTAGAGACGTGTACTGACTATCTCCCTTCAAATCATGAGTGTATGTGTAAGTGGGCTCTTCTCTTGTGCAGGCTAAGTTCTGAGCTAGTGTGCCTGTTCAGGGCTTTTTGATTTTGGTTGGGGTTTTTTTCAATATCTGATAAAACATTGAATTCAGAGTAATTCAAGCAGCAGTTGTAGTCACAACTATTCTGAGTATGAACTCAAGTACAAAATGGAAGGCTAATGGTTTGGAGAGGAGATTGGCAGCATATGTCATAGGATCATGTGATGTGCTGTTACTGCTCCAAGGATCTCTACACTGAGAGGTTCAAGCCCACTGCTCTGTTGCTCTCAATTGTTCCAGGCAAATAACATCATGATTCTCCCAGAAGCGCAAAAAATTAGAAAAGAATTCTTAGGTATAGTAGCTTTTTTGCCAATATACAAGTGGCAAGTCTCAGTCATCYGAGCAGAAGAGCTCACCTTTCCTTGTGTGAGTGTAGAAAAATCCCAGTGTAGTATGGGTGATGATTTTTATTCATGTATATATACATGAATATATCATGTATATCATGTGTATATATATCATTCATTCATGATGATTTTTATTCCTCATTAACAAAAATTGCAAATTTTTGTTCCCTCAGAACATGACTGGGGATAAAACCAATATCTCATTAAATATAGCTGAAATATGGAGTACAKATTTTCTGATGTGGTGACTCAGAGACATCACATTAAAAAGAGGACCCAATCCCAAATATCCCTTTAAAACCTGATAATGAAATAATGCATTTAACTGATTAAATGCTTGAATAATACAGAGAAATGATGTGATAGGACAGAGATGGAGAACACCTGTCAACTGCATCTGACAAAGCAAGATGTGACTTAGATATGTAAAGTTCAGGTGTGAAGTGTGAAGGATTTCATGTCTGACCAATTTTTATTCTCAGCAGAATGCAACTTCAAACTATTGATCTCCTGGAACTGCTTCAAAATCAAGACCCAGTAAGTTTCTGATATAAAAAACATTATCATTTTCCACATCAATTGTCCAGTTTAATTCTCTACTTTCACACTTAGCCATATCCCAAGCTGTAAGCTAATTACAARACCCAGTTGTTCCTAAAGATACCATCTCTGCTTCAATGTCAGCTCTGCTGCTGCTGTTATTAGGCCCATATTCTCCCTCCTTAGTGAATCTCTCTCCTACATACCCACATTTAGATGTAAAGATAAGGAAAAAATCAGCTACTCACTGTTTCATCAAGCTGGTCTAACAGAGGGTTCTTCTTCTTAGTGAGTGAAGATATATCTGAAAATAGGAAACAGCACTTCCTGTGATATATTGCAAAATGAGGGTAAGTTTCTYCTTCTCTGAAAAAGCTTGGTTTCCAGGCTGAGGTCAGAACTGGTGGATGAACACTTTATGGGTTCCTTCTTRTTCTGCTCCAGCTGGAACTGGAGCYGTCATTTTCTGAACTACYCCATCTCTAAAAGGTTCATACTGGCTGCTTAAATTCAATAAAATCCCATTCTCAGGTAAATAAGTATTTCTACCTGCTCTTAAAACTTCTAATCTCAATTTACTCGCTTCCAGTTTGAGTCCTTTCCACCTTGTCCTGTCACTTCATGCCTTTGTAAAAAGTCCMTCTCCCTTCTTTCTTGAAGGCCCCACTTCAAGTACAGGAARGCTGCAATTAGGTCACCCTGAAGCCTTCTCTTTTCCAGGCTGAACAAACCCAATTTCCTCAGCCTTTCCTCCCAAAAAATGTGTTCYATCCCTCTGACCATCTTGGTGGCCTTCTCTGGAATCGCTCAAACAGATCCCTGYCCTTCCTGTGCTGTGGACCCCAGAGCTGGATACAGCACTGCAGGTGGGRTCTCACCAGAGTRCAGGAGCAGAATCCCCTCCCTTGCCCTGCTGCCCACACTGCTTTGGATGCAGCCCAGGATGYATTTGGCTTTGTGGGCTGTGAGTGCACATTGYTGGATCATGTGCAGCCTCTCATCCACCAGTACCCCCAAGTCCTTCTCCCCAGAGCTGTTTTCCATCTGTTCATCCTGCAGTCCGTGATGCCAGCAGCTTCCCTGACCCATGTGCAGCACCCTGCACTTGGTCCTGTTAAACCTCTTGAGACTCCTGTGGTCYCACTSCTCAAGTTTGTCCAGGYCCCCCGGATGGCACCCCATCCTTCAGGAATGCCAACAGCCCCACTCAGCTTTATGTCATCTGCAAAATGCTGAGGGTGCACTCGACCCCTTTGTCATTAATGAAGTTATTAAATAGCACCTGGTCCCAGTACAAACCTCAGAGGGACACTGTTTGTCACTGATGTCATTGGGACTCCGAGCCATTGACAGCTTCCCTCTGGATAGGATGGTCCAACCACTTACTAATCTGTGTAACAGTTCARCCATTGAATCCATCTCTCTCCAGCTTAGAGAGAAGGATGTTGTGGGKGACTGTCCCAAAGTCCAGGTGAACAACACCCACAGCCCTTCCCTTGTCCACTGCTGCAGTCACTCCATCACAGGAGGCCACTGTGTTGGTCAGGCAGGACTTGCCTTTGGTAAAGCCATCCTGGCTGTCTCGAATCATCTCCCTATCCTCCATGTGCCTTAGCACAGCTTCCAGGAGGATCTATTCTGTGATTTTCCCAGGCACAGAGGAGAGGCTGAGGCTGACTGTTCCAAGGGTCTTTCTTCCTACTCTTTTTAAAGATAGGTACAATGTTTCCCTTTTTCCAGGCACCTGGGACTTCACCTGACGGCCGTGACTTCTCAGGTATCATGGAGAGGGGCTTGGCAACTACGTCAACCAATTGCCTCAGGACTCTGCRAGGCATCTCACTGGGTCCCACAGATCATTATAAAACAGGACTGATGAATAATAGGGTCACTTCTCTGCTCTCTATGGAGACTTTTTCAACTTTATAGCAAAGCTACATTCTTCAAATTTGCACTCTTTTGGCAGCAGCTCTTGACCATTCTAAGACTGCAGGATGTTTTCCTACAGTATTCCTAAAAAGCTGTAAGACTGGCTTGTGTTACAATAATAGCTGGTTTTTTTTCACTTCCTAAAGAATGTATGTGGAGTTTCAATAAACTCAGGGATATCTAACCTCATCACACGTTTTACAGGAAGCAGAAAAGAGAATCATAAAGCTGTTTCAGAAAGTGTGCCTAAACACTGTTTAGGAAGAGGGGTGTGATGGCTGAAATCACATAAGGAAAGGGGTTGTGTAGATTTTTCTCTRAGTATAGAGAGAAAATCATTGAAATTTGTCAAGCCTGAGCAGAAAATGCCTTCCCTACAATGACACAGTGGATAACAGGGGGACCCAAGCCACATATTCATTCTATACCATCCCCTTCTGAGTTGCTGTCTGAATTTGAATGTATTTCACYGCTCAGGGTATCTGTACATTCAATGTAGAGGCTGCTAGTTCAGAAGTCTTGGTTGCATATTTCATCTTTTGTGAACTACTATGTCTGGTGAAGAAATGGATGGGCTTTCAGGATCAAAAATCCTGCCTAAAGCACTTCATTTTAATTGTCCCTTGAAAAAGAAGTGTGTCACTTGGACAAGGGGCTTATCTCCGCCCTCAAGAGAGAAACCCCTTTGGAATCCATTGTCCAGGGTCTTCATAAATCTTCTGGGAGTACCAGTGGTCATCATTGACCTCTTCTCTCCCTGTCTGGTAAAACTGGAGCTTCCTTCTGCCTTGCTCAGGTTCTTTCTGGTGTCACCAAACTCCCRACCAGTTCTAGGAAAGATTACAGGAGAAGTCTTCCTTGGAAGAGCTACATGCTATTTTCATGACCTGGGGGGGTAAATAGCAGTTTTAAGTTTGGCCTACTGGGTTTGATGGATTTTTGTGGTGGTGAATGACTCCTGACTAACCACTGTGTCCTACCTTGAGGAAGAATGCAGTTTTGCACACGTTGCTTGGGAAGAATTTTAATACTTTGTGCCTCCAATGTGGATGACTTGTTTGAAGACAAGTGGACAGTGTTTTCAGGCTGCCTGAGCCCCAATTGCTCTTTGAAAATCAGGAATGGTCTCTTTCCAAAATAGTAATGCAAATAATCTGAAGTTGTGTCAAAAAGTTTGAGCAAGATTAAAATACAGGAGAAAAAAAAAGGACATATTCAAGGGAAAAGAAACATTTCATATTAGGCACTAAATTTTAGGCACCAGTAACTACATTTTGAACCATAGCTAAATTATTATAATATTATAGAAGATAGAGACTGTTACAAAGGGCAGAACTTCCTGAAAATGCCTTTTTCAGGAACGTTGGGAAACTGAAGAAATTCAGGGAAAAGAAAGTGTGGTCATCGGTCTAGAAAGCATGGCCTTTGAGACATGATTGGGAAAAGACTAGATGATCTCTGGAAAGCTCTCTCAGACTTAATTTCCATTATTTTACTCATAGTATCTTTCCTGTATGGGTTTAATGGGCTTAATAAACATTAACTAATCCCTACAACTGCCTAGGAAAGAGAAGCAGAAGAAGCAGTGGGAGAAAAGGCTCCCAAAGCCAGAGACATTGCCAGGAGAAGATTGCTTGAGCTATAACATTAGATTCTCCAGATAAAAGTAGAACAAACAGTAAGAATACAGTACATAAACTTCACAACACTAATCCATTGAAATCCTATAAACAGGGAAGTGCTTTTTGACTGTACCAAAGGGAAGAATCAAAAAAGAACAAAAAATTTCTGCAACMAAACTGTCTTACTTCATCTGGGGCTTTCTACGAGCTGTCACAACAGTTCCACTCAGAGAACTGAAGCAAGGGAATCAAACCATGATGTGCTACCTACCATGGCACAGAAGCAAAACTRGAAAGCCTATCCTCCTCTTCCCCTACATCCTCATACCCATACAGGTGCCCTAAAACTGTGTTTTAGGAGGAGTAGGAAGATGCATAGAAGTAAAACAGGTTTCTATTGATGACTTGTGAAAGTTGCTTCATTAGCTGCTCAGGTGTCCTCACAGGATTTCCTCACAGGATTTCCTCACAGCTTTAGGGTGCTTCAGAGAGCCTTGGAGGAGTGAGACTTGACAGCTGAGATGCAAGTAAACTGGGAGTCCTACGTATTCTTGGGATACTCTGCATTGTTCACAGAAGAACTACACAAGGATATATCAGTGCAATCTACCCTTCATGTTAACCTGTCTGTGCAAACACCATGGTGCTCAGTACACCATCACAATGCTTGGTTCCATCTGCAGAAGGCCCCCTCCATCTGAGGGACTGGTTATTTGGGATTCTCTTTATTGCACTTCACTACAGTGCAGGACCAGCCCTGCTTAAGGCACACTGCCCAGGCCCTCCTGGGACTGTCGAATTTTGCTTTTCCCTCATGACCATGACTCTAGCTCTGTCAGGGTAATATCTGAGTCCTTCACAGATATTCCCGTATCTGCCTTCTTACCACATTTATGAGATGAAGCAATACAATTATGCCCATTTTGCAAGCATCCAYTAATTTGTGGAACCTGGTTTGCAAACCGTTTTTCTCCAAAGTAAACTACTGTGCTGGAGCAGGGCTCTCATGTGTTGTAGCTGTTGGTTCTTGCTCTTCACACTGACTCTTGGAACATGAGGAGCACCATGGCAGAGGCCATATCTGAAAATCTCAGTGCAAGTGGAAAAGGAATTTACGTGCTAGAATTAGTCACTTTAGGGTGGGCAGGATAAAAACAGCTCTAAGTGTCTAACTCCCTTGAGGAAATTTGTGCCTGTCCTGTGATAAGCTTGCAGATCCCAGTAGTGTTTGTGGCACAGGAGTTGGCAATGCAAGTCTTCCCTGATTTTGCTTCTCAGGTCTCTGCAGRACTGCTCAGTGAAACTGAACMAAAAGACACAAATGGCTCCAGATGGTTTTCATTCTGCTCAGAGATTGGCCTCGCACTCCTGTGAACCTACCCAGTGCAGCCTGCTGTGTTTCTGAGAGCTCTCCATGGAGAGTCCAGCAGCCTGAAGCTGGTTTGGTAGCCACACTAGGCCAACTTGCAAGCAATAATGAATCTGATCTTAGTCACCTTCTGACAAGTATTGTTTACAGGGTGGAGACACCACTTCCTCTGTAACTTCTAGAGAGAAAATGGAAGAAAACACAGGGCTTCAGATAAGTCATCAAAACCTTTTTCACAATCCACAGCAAACTAACCACACACAGATTCTGTGGTACTACAGACTTCAAACTCTTCTCCATCCTCAGCAAAAGAGGATCACTGTGGTACTWTCTGTACTGTGGTGCACTAAACTTTATTGCACCCTCTTTCTATTTTCATTTTAAGGCAGTACTAATTGCTGTC